TTTTTTTTTTTTTTTTTTTTTTTTTTTAGGCTTTTGAGGTATAGAGATATCAAAAGGGAGAAAGAAAGAGTGTATGCAGGGCGGAGACCCCAATCCCTTAGTTTTATGGGTCAAAGATGAAGACCCTGCCCAGTGAGAGCCTGAGGAGGAGATGTGATCCCTTAAGGAGAGTGGAGTCACTGAGGAAATGGCCAGTGTGTGCCAGTGAGGCTACGAGAGCTGGATGGGGACAAGTGGCTGGCATGGGCGTATTTCCTAATGTAGTGCAGTGATGGTGGGGATTTCAGAGGCCGGGGAGCAAAATATCCAGTGCAGCTGCCTTGGGAATGAGAGTCTGCCAGGTGTGCGTACAGCAGTGAGCAGGAGGTGTGGCCTCGGGCTGATACCCTCCTGGGCATCTTCACCAGTACAGCCCGACCAAGTTCAGAGCAGCAGGTGCAGCTCAGGTGGCAGATGTAGGACGCACGGACTGACATGCCGTCTCCTCACAGACGTCTTCGTCATGGTCTCTCGTGAGGAATGGGGGGCAAGAGCGACGGGCTGCCGCTCTGAGCTGAGCAGGCCAGCGAACGTCCTTGTCGTGCACCATGTCCCCGGGCTAGAGTGCGACAACCAGACTGTCTGTACGCGGAAGCTTCAGGAACTGCAGGCCTATCACATCCACAGCAGCTGGTGTGATGTGGCCTACAAGTGAGTGTTGGACCTGAGCATCCAGACTTGCGGTCCTGACTGCTCTGTTGGGTTTTTTTTTTTTTTTATTGTTCTTTCTGACCTATTTTCCTCATTTTCCCGGCTGTGGTTCTATCACTTTTGTAATAAGTACAGTATTCAAAAATCTTCATGAAATTCTGATAAAATTCCCTGTGAAGTCCGTGCCTCTGAGATGCAGAAGGAAATCCAAGACATAACTGCCTGTAACATGATGTCCGGCTTGTTGGGGTTTCTGTCCTGCCCGGTACCCTGCAACTCTCAAGGAAAATCACACACAAGACTCTATAAGATTATAAACTGATTGGCCCATTAGGTCAGGCTTCTTATTAGCCCTTGTAACTTATATTAACCCATTATTCTGATCTATGTTAGCCATATGGCTTGGTACCTTTTCCAGCTGTCAGCTCACATGTTGCTTCTTCGGTGATCTGGGCAGGAATGGCAGAGCAAGCTTCCTGCTTCCCAGAATACTCCCAGTCTCTTTGCTCCACCCCTACTTCCTGTCTGGCTTTCCCACCTATGCTGCCTGCCTGGCCAATCAGCGTTTTATTAAAATATGATTGACAGAATACAGACAATTCTCCCGCATCAACTGCCCCTTTAAATGACACTGGGAACTCTTCGTTTGCCCGACACATAGTTTGCAGAGTCCTTCCTTACACCTGAGAGCTTCTTATCATCTACTAGTCTGAGATGGACAGAACAAGAATCACCGTTTTCTCAAGGTAGGGAGGCTGTTTGATTTTCACAGTGCTGTAAACTAGCTCGATCAGCCTCTGTCCATGCAAAGCCGGTGTGGGTTCTTATCTGACTGGGGCACTCATCCCACCTATGACCCCAACGGCTAGTCTAGTAGATTCCTATCTGGCTTTGGCCACTTGTCAACAGTCTGGCCATGGTAATGGCAATGGCTTCTGGCCTCAAGCACCACAGCATCTCCACTTTCCCACATTAGGCTTCTCCAAGGCCTCTGTGATTCGGAGGATTGGCCCCTGGGGGACAGGAGTTGGAGGGTAATTTCATCAACCCAGCCCTTCTGAAGGAGGGTTCTAAAGCTATATACACAGCTCTTCAGAGAGACATGGTGGGTGAGTGGCAGTGAGGGTCCAGAGCTGGGTGTTTACTCTTGAGTTAACTCCAAGGTTGTTGGATGTCTCTCTTTAGTTTTTTCTCCCTGCCCTATCTCTCTGGCTTCTGGGATCCCTCCCTAAACACACTGCCTGCCTCAGTGTCCGTGTCTCACATGCTGCATTTATGTAGGAAGTTACCCGGCAGGGAGAAAGCAAGTGAACAGCCTTCTGTGGGCAGTGTACCTTCCACGTGAGGTAGGGGAGCTGTTGTGAGGATGTGTGGAGTCCCTGGAGACCAACATTGTGTTTAGGTCAACGGTAGCTTCTGCAGGTGGCCCAAGGCTCCTCTTCCTTTTCAGTGTTCAGGATGATTTATATACAGACTGGGTGTCTGAACAAGGGGGTGCATGGGGTGTGAGCGTGTGTCCTTTTCAGTGTTAAAAACGAGAATACGTGACTTGGCCTTTCTATTGTCTCAGAGAAATCCATGCAAATACTTTCTTAGTGAACCTGCCCTGAGCTCTTTTAAGCCTGGGAGCCTCTCAGGAATGTGAGTTGGTACCAGTCAGTAATTTGTTTCCTTGCCCATAGTTTCCTGGTTGGGGATGATGGCAGAGTGTATGAAGGCGTCGGCTGGAATGTCCAAGGATCACATGACCAAGGCTACAACAACATCTCCTTAGGCATTGCCTTTTTTGGCACCCAGGAAGGTAATGGCTCCTCAGCTGACTGTCCTTCAAAGAGCAATCTGCTCCTTTCTCTTGAAGCTCTGCTGCCTTCTCAGGCATCTCCACAAAGCCAGTTTCTCTTGCATTCTTCTCCCTTGGTTTCCAGGACGCACAATGCGATGCCCTACTTCCTTTTGTCGTGGCTTCCTTCTCTGGCTGTGCCACATTTCTTCCTCAGACTCCCAGCCTTCTCTGGGCAAGTCATGTCCCGCTTCTCTTCTCCATAATTCTATCTGCAGGACCTCGCCCTGCTTCATGCCTTGCCCCTGTTAGTGACTGTCACACCTTCACTCCAGGATGGACAGGTCGGCGGATGTACGTCAGGTGTTCCCGCTCGCTGTCTATCTCTCACGCCTAGATTTTCTGTCTATTGCTCTAAAAAGCTGTCTTGATGCCTCTGTAGTAAGTATTTTTCTTGCTGCTGTGACCAAATGCCAGATGAAACCAACTTAAGGAAAGAAGAGTTTATTTAGGCTCTCAGGGTGAGGGGATAATTCATCGCAATGGTCATCACGTGAGGGACACAAAGTGGCTGGTCACATCCCATCGCCATTAGGAACTGGAGGATTGGTGCTCACCCGATTCTCTCTTGTGTTTGGCCCAGGATTCCATCCATGGAATGGTGCTGTCTGAATTTAGGGTGGGCCATCCCACCTCGGGGAGCCCGTTCAGAAAATATGTCCATTGGTTTGTCTCCTAGATCTATTCAAGTTGACAGTTAATTTCATTATTTTTTTCATATAATATATTTTGACCATGTTTTCCCCTCTCCAACTCCTCCCAGACATTCCCACCTCCCTACCCATCCAACTTCATGTTCTCTCTCTCTTAAAAAATAAAATGAATAAAGAATAAAATGAAGCAAAAATCTCAAAGCAGGGTGGGAGCCGTGAAATTTGGTCTGGGTTGGGCTCCTCCAGGGACATCACAGCATCTGCCAGCTTTTCATTTTCTTCCAAGTCTGTTGATTTCAATTCCCTGCACTCCACATCTTGACATCCAGTTCTCGGCACCCTGCACCCTGACATCCTGACATCCATTCCCTGTACCCTGCATCCTGATATATAGTCAAGACCGTACCCGTGAGTCTGTGAACTGATTTTTTTCTTTTTTATTAAATTTTTTCATTTATTTTGCATACCAACCAGTCTCCCCTCCTCCTCTTTTCCCATCCCTTCCCCCTACCTCCTGTCTAATGCCCCCCTTCATCCAGCCCTTCTCCTTTCAGAAAGGGGCAGAACTCCCATGGGAGTCAACAAAGTCCCTCCTCCAGCACCAAGGCTGGCCAAGGCAGCCCTTCATTGGGAGTAGGTTCCAAAATGTCAACCTGTGGGCTGATTTCTGTTGTCATATTTTGGATAGCTAGTTTCTCATTTCTAGTCCATATTGTTTGGGATAGTCCAGGTAGATTCTACCCTTCTCATTACTACACTATGCAGCCTAAGTTTCAGAGAAACAAATAACCCCAATGACTCTGAGGAAGGAAGGAACACGAGCATGCATTTTCCATTCTAAGAGGAGGGCTGTTTCCACAGAGTACCAGGACCAGGGTGCCTGTTTAATTTATAGATTTATTTCTTGTTTTGGGATTTGAAGCATGTAGTTTTTAGATTCCAAATTCTTCCTCATGAGCAGAGGGGTCCCTAGCAGTATTTGATTCAGGATTTGTGCTCAGAAGATGGCAGTGCCAGCCGTTGGGGCTCACTGGGCAGAGCTACCTTGAAGCCCTCTTGGATGGGGCATGTGGGCATATGTGAAGTCTTGGCACATCACTGGGATCTTGGCACTTCAGTCGGAGCCACTCAGAGCCCTGTTATTGCAGGTACTTGATTCTCGCAACTCTGACTTGAGGGAGGAACCTGCCCCCATCGTTTCCTCTAGCCGGTGTAGGTTTGCTGGGGGTGCTCAACCTCTTCCCTCTGTACCTGACCCTAGGTCAGGCAGGGACTCCCCATAAATCTACTCTCTTCCAGGCCACAGCCCCAGCCCTGTTGCTCTCTCAGCTCTGAAGGGCCTGATTTCCCACGCCGTGAAAAAGGGCCACTTGTCACCCAAGTACATCCAGCCACTTCTTGTGAAAAGTGAAAACTGCCTGGTCCCTCCACAGAAAGGGAGACAGAAGAAAGGTGAGGCCCTCTCCCCTTCTGGTCCTTCCAGTCTGACATACTAGGATGGCATTCACAAATGCCAGCAGCAGGGACCTCTTCCGGCTTCCCTCACATCTTCCCAGTAGCTTTCTGAAATGCTGGTGCTGGCAAACCTTGAGAGGATTCCTCCAGGCCACCTCTTTCCTATTAGCTACAGTGACAGTAACAGCCACATAGGTGTGAGTGGTGTTGTGAACAGCCTTTCACACCTGCCTCGTCAGCAAAACTGGATCGAAGGAACACAGCACAGGAACCTTTGAGTCATAGAGCTTCTGTGTGGGGGGAGGGGAGACAATGTACAAATAAACAGATAAAATACTCAGGATTAGCGGGGTAGTGGTGGTGTACGCTTTTAAACCCTGCACTTGGGAGGCAGAGGCAGGTGGATCTCTTGAGTTTGAGGCCAGTCTGGTCTATAGAGTGGGTTCCAGGACAGTCAGAGTTATACAGAGGAATTCTGTCTTGAGAAACCAAACAACAACAACAACAACAACAAACTCCCAAAACTCAAATTGTTCGAGAAGAAAATAGGCCTAGAAAATGAGAGGGTACACTTATACACAGTTCTTGTTCACAAACACACATTTATAAATATAGAAAGTAACATAACTTGATGTTGTCACACTGACATTAAAGGAGGAATTTAAAAACAATTCAGACAACAAGTTAGGTTCTGTTTTGGGTTAACAAGCAGTGACAATGAGTTTTAGATTTATTTTATTTTATTGTTTTATGTGTGTGAGTGACTTGCATGCACACATACCAACCACACATACACACACGTATGTTTATCATGTTTGAGTCTCATACCCAGAGAAGACAGAAGAGGTCATCAGATCCCCTGGAACTGGAATTACATGTGCTTGTGAGCCATCATGAGAGTACTGGAAATTGAATCTAGTTCTCTGCAAGAGCAACAAGTGCTCTTAACCACTGAGCCAATTCTCCAGCCCCAAACCCCCTCCCCCTCTCTCTCTGAGCTAGTGAGTTTTACTGGAGTTTATTACAGGAATATGGAATAGAGGTTACTATGACACAGCTTTATCACCAAAAGCCCACTCCAGCCCGGGTGGCCACCACACCTGGAGCTCACTCCACAACCTGCAGGTAGTTCAACAGTCGGGGTGTCTTCTCCAGGCTGTTCAGCCAGGCGTGGCTTCTCCCAAGCAGCTCTGGTGGCCTCAGATCTCAGCATTCCTTACTGCTTATATATGTGCGGGGACAGGAGAGGCCTAGGGAACCTGATCAGTGTCAGGGACTTCCTGAAGCTTTTGAGAAAACAAAACAAAACAGTAAGAACTTTTGGCTTGTTCTTGGGCTTAATGAAGTTTGAAGAAGCTTGTTCTTATTGTCATGAGCCCTGAATCAGTTTGATCTCCGCCTCGAACCTGCTACCATCCATTCATATTGAGGATTGCGTAAGGGTTGTAAGTGTTTGTCAAACAGACTTCTGGAGTACAGCTTCTGTGTTTGCTGCTTGCACCAGTCCAAGAGTACTCTAGAGCAGAGCCCCACAGTCAGAAGGGTGGGGCTCTGAGGGTGACAGCGAAATCTCAGCACATTGAGGGTCACAGCAGCCTTCAGCAGTCACATGGTTGACACAACATGGTAAAAAGAATCCTTTATGTCTTGCCATTTGTTTCTGTTGTTTTACCCAACAACAGGTTGCCCCCGCATTGTTCCACGGTCTGCTTGGGGTGCAAGAGAGGCGCACTGCTCCAAGATGGCTCTCCCTGCAAAGTATGCCATCATCCTTCACTCTGCTGGGAGAACCTGCAGTCAGCCGGATGAGTGCCGCCTACTGGTCCGAGATCTCCAGTCCTTGTTCCTGGACAGGCTGAACGCGTGTGACATTGGGTATAAGTGAGTGATCCCAAGGGTAGGGGCTGCTTTCCTTTGGTCAGGGAAGCTGAATCTCTCAACAAGAGGGGAAAGGGAGCTAATTGTGACTGATAATTCACCATATGAAAACCTCTTATTCAGGAGACAAATAAGGGGCAGTCACAGCTCCAAGCATGTCCTAAAAACGTGTGCCTATTAAAGGCAGTATATGGATATTATGGGTTCCGAGGCTTCTGAAGAGATGTTAGAGGAAGGGACAGTGTGAGAGATTGAACTCTGTAGAAGAGATCACTCCAGGGCCATTGTTTTAACGCAGCTGCTTCTCATTACACTGTGGCTCAGGTGTTGCCCTCTGCTCGGTTTGCTTCTTCTGGTGTTATTGTGACAGTCCTTCCTTCTCATCTAAGATTCCGAACACTCAGAGGGAGAGTCTCTCCTCCATGGAAAGACTGGACAGCACCCATTAATTTCAGTGCCAAAGTCCGCAATTCTATAATAAAGAACGTGAAACCAGTGAGAGGACCTTTTTCCTCTCCCTACATTTCTACTCCCGTCTTCTCCTTGTGTCTGTTGGTCTGTCTTCTTCCTCACACATTTCTTTTTCTCCTCCTATCCTTTCCTTCCTCCTTCCCTCCTTTCCTTCTCATTTAGTGTAATCTAAGTGAATATCAAGATTCCATGACTGAGTTTTGTTGGTCAAGAACACTTATGTTTAATGACAGCCACTTAAGACTGGCCTACATAGAAAACAAAATGACCATGAAGCAGGCAAAACACCAGAGGATGTTTCCAGAGCTTGATGATAGGACGCCGGAGTATCTCACTCATTTCTCATCACAAACAATCAAGCTGTATGTTTGTGCATGCCACGTGCCACTAAAAGAGTCACCATCTTAGGGAATTCGTGGATTAGCTTCTGGAGCTGTATTTTTGTCTTGACTGCTCCTGCCAGGCACCAGTGTGCAATGGACTTGCTTTGGCTGGATTCATCACGTGGCATATTCTTCTAAGGTGACTGGTCCTCTGCTCTGTCTCCATGTTAGTGAAGCGCTTTAAAGATGGGATAAAATGTTGCCACTAGCTAGCTATTAGGATCTACCAAATGATTGTAGGTCCCTCCACTCAGAAAGATAGTCCTGATGTTGTTCTCCTTAACTGCCACGGAGATGTGAACATCAAATATGAATTTGGAAATCTCATACTGGGGATGGAAGTTTCTCTTTCCTACTCAGGCTCCAGAAGGCAGTTACCTTATCCTAGGCTTTTGATTTGTATTGTGCATCCTGTCAGCATCCTGGAGAGGGACTGAACTCAGGACCAAACACTCACTTCTCCTCACAGCTCTAGACTGTGCTCTGGGGATGCTTCCTGCAGGAGCACAGGTGACTCTACCCTCCTGGAGCTAAGACTTCAGTAAGGGGGGGGGGGAGAACTTACAAAGTAGGTTTCAGCAAGGTGAGCCAAGTGCAACCATGAAGGTCACGTGAAGGACATGCAGGCTGCAGGAAGAGCAGCGAGGGACTCATTCCTTGGAGGAGTGGGACAAACTAGAGGAGGAAGCAGCAAGAGTGTTTCAAACACAGGGAAAGGCCTGCGTTCCAGCAGAAGAACAGTGTCTCAGAGGAGGGAGCTGAGAAATTGCTTATGATCACATAAATGCCAGTATTGGATGTGGTGAGAGGTGAGGCTGGGAGGCAGAAGAGCGTTTCCTGAAGAACGGTGCATTTTCAACTGGGGAGTTTGGGTTCTGTGCAAAGGACGAAGAGCAGGATTTCACATGATAAGATTTGTATTTAGGAAGATGCCTTGACTGACGGACGCCTTGGGAACAGATGGGTGCGGGTGAACCTGAAGGCAGTGAGATTTGAAGATGTGACAATTCAGGCAGGGCAAGATGTTGACAGGGGAAGAGGGTGCAGATGTCCCAGGAGAAGTGGAGGCACTTAAGAGTTCATAAAAGTGAGTGACTCATGACTAAGGTGCAGGACTATGTCAGGGAAGTGGCTGAGAGACATCGGCACCAGCCTTGGGTGTCCAGTGGATGGGATGAGTGGACGAGGCCTGGGTTGGAGTCAGTGGGTGGTGATTTTTCTCTACAATGCTATCCCAGAGAAGAACAGGTGGGAGGCGGTTCCAATGTGAGTTGTGCGCTTTCATGGATGATGAAGAAGCCAAGGAAATGAATAGGTCAGTTCTGAGAGTGTGTAGGGTGAGGAGGAAGAGGCACAGAGACCAATCTGCCAGATAAGAGGGTGAGTGGACCATCCCAGTGGGGGTGCCAAGCAGAAGATGTCTGGAGAAGGAAGAGATAGGTTGACAGGTTCAGCTTCATGGAAACTGATGTTAGACATTTGGGAAATCGGGGTGAGTTGCTAAATAGTTTATTTTATCAAAGCAGCTACTGTGACAATTTGCTCCCCAGAAATATGTAAAGGTTTTAAGTCTGGGTCCCTCTCGAGCCCCACTCCTCCAGATGATGTCAACAGCAGGGCCCTCACAAGGACGATGCCTCACACAGGGTACTGGAACCTGGGGAGTAGTTGAGTAAATAAATGAATGAACCCACGAAGGAAGGTGAATGTCAAACCAAGAACGCTCCCTCTTTCATGCTGATCTCCACCTCTCTTGTGGTTCTCCAGCTTCCTCATAGGCCAAGATGGTGGTGTTTATGAAGGGGTGGGCTGGAATAGCCAAGGCTCCCACACGGAGGGCTACAATGACATTGCTTTGAGCATCACCTTCATGGGCGTCTTCACAGGTAAGTGGAGGCTTTGGTAGTTGAGATCCTTGTGTGATGTTTGAGGAGAGAAAGATGTCAGATTTGGGCATCATCTAAAGCATCATATGGTGACGTTTTGTATTTATGTGAGTGTGACTAGAGGTGACCCTCAGATCCTAGAGAGAATAGGTACTCAAAAAACACCTTTCATACTCAAAGACAAATCTCCCTCCCTCCCTCCCTTCCTCCCTCCCTCCCTCACCCCTTCCTTTGGTATGAATGGATAAAGCCAGGGGAAATGCCTGCGTGAGTGATTTTAGTTCGTCTTTATAACCTATCCTATTTGGTTCTCATGGTACCAACTCTAGATGGCTCAGCCTTATATCCAAGGCAGGGATTTAGGGATCTGCCTGGGCTGCCCTGAAAATGCTCATTTCTTTACACAGTGCTCCTGCCTAGAGCTAGGGTACTGTTGAATCTCTGGGACAGTGAGGGACTGGTTTGAAAATGAGCGTTAGCTGGGGGTAAGGGCAGGGGAGGAGATGCTGAGCAGCGAATCTGTGGGGAAGGCCTGTAAACCTCACTGCTCCTGACATTCTGGATGAGACCATCCACGGCCACAGATCCAAAGGCGGCTGGCACTATTCTTGCCTTCTCCCAACTCGACAATACGAGTGTCATTACTTCCTTCACTTTTGTCAACCAAGAGTTGGCATTGCCAAATGTTCCTTAGGGGACAAAAATGTTCCCACTAGAGAACTAGCAGGACAGATGTCTGCAGCAGGAGAACCTTCAGCATTCTTCAGATCTGTATTTGTAATTCCAGAACCAGCAATTCAGAGTCAGGAAAACTTTGGAGTTGAGACACATGAAGTGTTGATCTGGCATTCTGTCTGTCTGTAAGACTGGCTGCCAACAGTCAAATATACTACTTTAGTGGTAGGCTGGGTGGGTTTGTAATCATGTTCTGGCCGGATCTGGGCACCTTAGAATCCTACAAACAATGGTCTGATTGTGTTTTGCAGGTTCCCCACCCAATGCAGCTGCACTGGAAGCAGCCCAGGATCTGATCCAGTGTGCTGTGGACAAGGGGTACCTGACCCCCAACTACTTGCTAATGGGCCACAGTGATGTGTCCAATACCCTGTCCCCTGGACAGGCATTATACAACATCATCAAGACATGGCCTCATTTCAAGCACTGAGGGAGGGTCCTAGCCCATTCTGAGGATGCTGTTCCTCCTGCTGGGTATTCGTCCTTACCTTCCATATTAGATTAGCAACATTGTTCTCTCATTTCAAAGCTTCACTTGGTTCATTTCCTGGGTTAAGATGACCATATCTTTTCTTGGTGATATCCACCACTGTCCCCCAAGTTTTGTACACATAGTCCTGTATTTGTCTTCTTAGCCATGTGAGGTTCCCTAGTTATCTGCCCTTCTACTTGGTACTCAGGCATCTGTGGTTTGTCTGGCAGCTCCCATTGCTCGTGCACAGCCCAGACAGGATGTCCTCCCCTCCTCTGCTCACACACCCATGTGTGCACATGTGAGTACTCCTTTTATTTAAGGGTTTAGGTTGCTTGAGGGCATAACTACTCTCTTCTGGTTTGTGAATTTCTTCCAGGGCAGCAGATGAGTTTCCTCACCACCAGGTGGCCTATGTCAACTCTGTGATCTGTGTTTAAATGCTAGTAGATATTATAGACTTTTGTTGGAGAAATGGATAAGCAAGTTAAAGACCCCAGTCCTCCTCCAAAAGTGTGCCATTATCCCTTTGTGGAAGTCCTGTGGCCCAACACCCCCTCCTCCCATTGTTCTCTGCACTGGAACTTCTTGGTTGGAGACTCGGAACTGGCTGTGGTGACGTGTCCATAGCAGATGCTGCGTCTCCACGGTTCCGTGACACTGTATCCACAGAGTACCCTGAGTGCCAGAACCACACGCTCCTCCAAGGCCAAGGCAGACCTGTGCCAACACTTGCTACCCTGTGCCGTGGTCTACCTGTGCCCGAATGAGTCCTGCTGGGCCGATCCTGGGGCTGTGCAACTCTCCCTACCCTTGTTCTTTGTTGTGTTTATTGGAAACACATGAAACATTGTTTTTCTCTGCGTTATTCTGCAAAATGCAAGGGAGAGTAAGAGGGAAACGGAAGAGATGAATAAAGGAATATAATGTAGGGAGTGTCTTGTTAGTTTGATTAATAATGTTTTGTCTTGTTTTATATGCTTTTGTTGCTCTTATTTTTAATAAAAATAAATACAAGAGCTCCCACTCTTTCCTCCCCTTCTCATTTTTGCTGTGGCCTGGACCTGGAGCCTCACACAGGTTACGCACTGAACTACTTTCCTCGTCTTGAAGCTCATACTTTAAGGCAGGAGTTTTGTGCTTTTTCCAAACAATCAGTGACCTTGGTTTTCTTGTCTGCATTTGCTATCAGCCCATTTGTGTAGAGTGCAGGGGTCTCCCCATTCTTCAGGGGCAGGGCAGCCATTTGTGTAGAGTGCGGAGGTCTCCCCATTCTTCAGGGGAAGGGCAGACATTTGTGTAGAGTGTGGGGGTCTCCCCATTCTTCAGGGGCAGGGCAGTCATTTGTGTAGAGTGTGGGTGTCTCCCCATTCTTCAGGGGCAGGACAGCATGGTCAGATTTGGGGTTTCCTCTTGTCTCCTTCAGCAGGAGGACCTGGCTCCAGGCCAGAGCCTCCTAGATACTCTTTCTTCAAGCGTCCTGCTAGTTATGAACCCTCCACAGTGGAGACTGAGGGCAGGGTCACGTGTTCTAAAGGAGGTAAGTAAACAAAAGGAGACATTTCTGAAAAAATGAGATGGAGTGCTCCAGATTCCCAGAGCTGAGGCAAAGTGCTGCTGTTCTTGGGGAAGCAGGAGGAAAGAGTCCCTTTGTTTCCCACCTTCCTGGGAGTGGGACCAGTCTCTTTCCCTCCCTCTCACTGTCTCCATCTCTTTAAGTTCTTCCTCGATCCACATGAAACGTAATTACAGGACTGAGTTGCTGACATTTAAAGGAGTAAGTCACAAAACAATCCCACACCAGTTTGGAATTATGATTAATAAAAGGGTTATTTATTTTAAGGGAAAAATTTACAGATCACCATCCTAGACAACAGCCCCCTGCACGACCAGGAAAAGCATCTGGTAGCCAGAAGCAAGAGAGGGAGTGGCTACCGCTGCCTTTTCGAGCCAGAGAGACCACACCCATGTGAGCTGGTATCTTAAAGGCTATTGGCTGAAGGAGCGGAAGGAGCTTCTGCAGCAACATTTTCTATGAATTCATGTTATTCCTTCATTTACCATCTAATTAAAAATAAGTTATTGATTGTTAGATACTTGTAGTTTTGGAGTAATTTTCCAGCTCTATAGGTTGATTCTCTCCTCTACATCCAGCGGTAGAAAAGGTTCTCTCTGTGTCTCAGCTCTTCCCTGAACATCTGCTCTAGGGACGGCAGCATTACACATCTCCTAGGTGGTGGTGTTGACCCTGCTGCCCCGTGTGAAGTGTTTCAGCCAGGCCCCGGCCGGTGAGCCCTTGCTGCTGCTGTGTTGTGATTGTAGTCTTCCCCACTCCTGTTTGACTCTGCTTCTTGGACAACAGCTTCGACTTCCCTGTAAGAGTTTACTGTTGGCTGTGTTGGTGACTCAGCTGCAGCCATATGAGGCATAGAAGAAGAGAGCAAGGCCAGGTCCCACAAGAGAGCAGGTGTGAAGACACCCACGATGACAGGTGCAGGGAAGGCGGAGTCTCCCTCTTCATGGACATTAATGCTGGCAGATTAATAAGTATTTATATATCCTCATTGTGTAGTCTTGAACCTGCTTAGGTGCTGCAAGCAGCAGTCACTGGAGTCACGTGTGGCGATGACAAGTTCAGAGCAACTGTGCACACTCTGAGTCAAGAACCCAGTCCGCAGAGACCTCTCACAGTGCAACACCTGTGAGTCCTGCCAGATACGCCTCAGTGAAGTTCATCACACACTTGACATTGAATGAACTGGAACAAGATGCCTCTGACGGGCAGAGCCATGTAAACTCTAAGGAGGAGCTGACTGACAGTGCGCAGCCTCCAAAGTCAACAGGTGCTGCAGCGTAGGGCATCTGCCTTCCCCAGTGAAGAACTTAAATTTTCTGTGCCTTTGTTCATTCGTTAATAAATGGTGATTGTATGCCCCCGAATGTTGTTATAAAAAGTGAAAGGCATGTGGGAAAATTATTTATATATCTTGTAGTTAGCAATTTCCAATAAAAACACGGCAGGCTTGTTTCAATTCATTCTAAAGAGGGCAAGCCAAAGCCATCAAGGTGGCACTGTAGATGACACTGGACTCCCACAGTAAGCTTCTGAGCCTGTCGCTTCTTTGGTAAGATACCCTCTTGTATGACACGATGCAGAAAATTGCCCCAGAGCGACACAGACATCTTCTGCTGGTCCCCGCTTCTTCTCCTAATTTATCCACCAGACGGCCGAGCATCTCTGCTCTCCAGTCACCCTGTGTGCTTCTTGACCTTCCACAGACTTTCTTCCACCACCCCCTGAGTGATGCTCTTATTTTTTTCCTTTCCAAAGTGCAGAGCTTCAAGCAGTGTGTTTATATCTTACTTTGATGGGGGTAGTTATACGTCTGAAGGGACAGCCTGCTGGCTACAGAATATGGCCAGTATCTTCCCTATGGATGTCATTACTGGAAAGATTCTGCTACCGCTTGTGAGGAGCGGCTACCACAGATTCCTGCCATCATGGGCGGTACCATCATGGGCAGTGCCACCATTTGCGCTCCTCTCAATGGGTATCTGGCACAATTCTGCAGTGTTCCTACTGGCACCTCTCCCATGATGACCTGATTCTTTACCATGGTGCTCTGTTCAGCACTGTTTTCTGTAGAGGTGCTCGTTTGACAGGAAAGAAGTACGGAGAAGTCTGGCAGCAGCATGGAAACTGAAAATTCATTTCCTTCCCAATACAAAGACATAATGCACGTGTGGTCTGAGACTGAGGGGGCAGGGACATGGAGAAAGACAGACGGAGACAGAGAGGCTCAGTGGTAAAATCCGTAATTGTGTTAGATGACATCACAGTCAGAGCTGAACCCATGAAGAATATAATACAAAATAAAAGGAACACTCAATGAAAGTATAAGCATTATGAAGGACATAATAGAACTGAGAAGATAACAATAAATAAGGGAATCTGTGGTCCAGAAATGGCCACTAAGAATAAGGAAATTGTCCTTTATTATATTGATTTATTTGGGGATTATAATTTTCTTACACTATTTCTTCCTTTCATTTCCTCTTTCCAAATTCTCCCATATACCTCTCCCTGTTCTCTCTCAAATACATGGTGTCTTCTTCTTTTTTCCTAAGATAATTGTTATTGCATGAACATACATACATATGTACATACATACATATTCATAAACATAAACCACTAAGTTCATAAATGTTGCCTGTATGAATGTTTTTAGGGCTGACTGTTTGGCATGGGACAAACAATTATTTGTTCTCTTCTCTGAGGAAAATCACCCCTCCCCCTTCAAGTTTATCCAGTTATTATAGTTTCTGATTTTTTGATATTTGGGACAGAACCCAGGACAAATGGACTACATTCTCTTCCAATTTAATTTATTGTAACTTAGTTTTATGACAGGATTGAACTATGCTATCCAGGTTGCTCTAGAACTCATGATCTTCTCTTGTCCCTTTATGCTGCTGAAGCTGCAGGCTTCTACCATAGCTAGCTAAAAAATGAAGTTAAAATGGATAGTATCACAGATGAAAGTGTAAAAAAATTAGGAAAATCCAAATATTAAAACAAGAGTAAAATTATCACTATTAAAGTATCAGATATGAGGATATTGCCATATATTTTGAAAGGTAAAAGGTGGATCTGCCATTGTCATCAGTAATTGCTGTCCCCCCCATACTTCTGTTCCCAAGAACTTTAATCCAAAATTCCCTACACTTGTGGAAGTGGACCTCACTAAGTGTTCCCCTGATAAAGACATCTGGATGTGAGCGTGCAGGTCCTGGGAGAGATGTGGGTTGAAGTATGCTGGAGCCCACCAGTGAGCAACACACTCAGTGAGCCTGTCAGTGAGCAGCACACACAGTGTCCTAGCCGTGGACAGGGTCCTCGGGAATGCTAGGTCTGGTCATCCACCTCAAGGGGCTGCACTTCGGGTACCTTTGGAAAGCACTGCTGGAAAGCACATGTCTGAACACCTTCACCCCCCGCCCCCAGAGAAGTGCAGAGAGGCAGGGACAGGACTTGTGCTGGCTCTTCTCACTCTCATCTTGACTACATCGGATATTAATTGAAGTTCCAAACTGGAGGTAACACCAGCTAAAGCTTTGTTGAAGTGGAAAGATCCAGTTCTAATCCAGATCTTTGAGGTATGAAGACAGATCTTTAATCTGGATCTTGGACTTGGAAAATATACCTTTAACCAGGGCTGCACCTTCTGCTGGAAGTTTATGTGAGGACATGGAAGAAGGAAGCTTTTACTCTTTGGTCTCGCTTTGCAGCAAGTCCAGTCCTTTACCAGCATTAGAGCCGACTTCTTTGGGATTCCAGTGTCTACTGATGTCCAGCGGAGACATCCAGCCTGGTGAACTGAGCAACTACTGGATTCAGAGACTTTTGGTTCATAGGCAGCAACTGTTGGACTAACTGGACTGCAGCCTACAAGTTATTAAGTTATTATAATAAATCTCCCCTCTCCACACACACACACACACACACACACACACACACACACACACACACACATGGAGAATTAAGGAATGATTTTATATAGAATTATATAATCATTCTTTAAGCTCTGTTATGGGTAATGAACATAATGGCTCGAGAAACTGAAATTCTAATGAGAACATATAGTGAACTATTTCCTGGGATTATAATCTTTTATTTATTTCCCACAATTCAGTTGTGTAATAAGAAAGTGGTGACAGAAGTTGAGAGTGACCTGGCACCACAGCCCTCAGACAAGTGGAGCAGACCCATCTCCACAGATGTGACATTCCTGATGTCAGGGACAGTCCACTGACCCCTCCAGAGTGATGAATGTTCTCCTACCTCCCTGTTTTAAGACAACAAAATCCAGAGTTCCCCAGGGGTCATTAGAAAGTACAATTCTGAGCTCCTTAAAGGAAGCACAGGAGGCTATGTAACC